AGGTAACAACCACCCATATAAACAACCCAAAATCAAAACATACATATCCTTCTCTTCAAGAAAGCCACCTTCGACAAGCTTATCTTTTTATTCCCCTTTATATTTCTATTTCTAATTTCCCTGAGCAAGCCAATTTTGGTTTCTTCACTTCTTGAGTGTTGCTTTTCATTCTAATGTTCTTTCTTTCTTTCTTGGATCTTATGAATATATCTTAGACTAAAGAGAATAATAATTTCACATCTAGCCTAAAATACCAAGACTGTCATCCTCTCTAGGCTATCTATCATTGGTACAATCCACCTCTTTATTGCCCAAAAGCATCATCCTCAACGGTTTAGAGTAGCCTTTTTATTTCTTAGGGCTTCCTCAAAGCATCGAGGGAAGGCCACTTCTAGTGATAAGAACTATCTTCTCCCCCACTAGAGGTAGACGCTGAAGTTCCGTCTTTTTCAGTCTTGGAGCCTAATCTGATGGACCTATGGACCCTTATCCCTTATCATTTCCTCCAATTCCTTGTTCAAACCTAAACCCATTGTCATAACTCATTTTTAGGTTATTCCTCAATTCATATTTTTTTCTCTCTTAAAAAATACAAAAAAAATAAAAAATATTATCAAAAAAATAATAGTGAAAAAAGGATGCCAGAACATTCAAAAAATAGTCAAACATTGTTTGAGGAGGTTCAAAAATTAAAATTTAATAGTATTTTATTAATTAATGAGAGCTCTGTTGACAAAGAAAATTCAATTTGAGGAAGAAAAGTCCAAAATCAGATATTTATGGACTCAATTAAATTTTATTGAAGGTTTGATTGCATGAAAATTAATTTTGAAGTTAATTTAGGCTTTCATTGAAAGAAATTAAAGTTTTAAGGTCAAATTATAATTTTTTTAGAGTTATGTTGGTCAAATCAAAGGCTTAATTGCATAAATATTAAAGTTTGATGGTCAATTAGAGACTTAATTGAAGAAATCTAAAACTAAGAACTAAAATGAAAAACACATGTAAATAGAGGAGTTGCAATTAATCTAAATCAAGGGTCAAGTTAATGAAATTAAAAGTTTATTACTCAATTGATGGTCAAAATGCATAAATTAGAGACCAAGAACTAATGTAAAAAAGGCAGTCAACTTTAGGGTTAGTAATTTAATTTGATAGGGATGCAATTGAACTGATTTTTATAATCAAATTGCAATTGAGAACTCAATTGAACAAATCACAAATTGAGAGCCAATGTGAACTTTGACACATTTTTGTTGCCTTTTCCTTTTAAATGAAATGACACGTTTTATCCAAAACGGTGTTATTTCATACACTATTAAAAAAAACTCCAACAGTGCCATTTGGAACAGCATTATAGGTCTTCTTCTTCTTATAAACATGCAAGATAGGGGAAGAAGAAGATTTCTCTTCCCCCTAGTTTCATTGACTTTTCTCCTCTCCCTCTCTCTCCTAAACATAAAAAAAAAAAAACTCGATCATAACCCTACTTGCATAAACTCTGACCCGTGATCTACCATGGGGTAGTAAAAAACAAAGAGGACATGCCCCTCTGGCGGTTCTTAGGGCGACTATATAATGGCCACCCTTACTTCTCTCTCCTCTGTTTTTCCTATAAATATAGGGGAAGATAGCAGAAGTTAGAGCCAAAAAAAGAAATGAAAAAAAAAAAGACTGAAAAGAAAAGGAAAAAGTAGAGAAAAGAATGAAAAAACAAAGGAGAACGAGTGAAGAAAAGAAAAAATAGAGAGGAAGAAGAGAAGGAAAATCCACCACAACAACAGCACCACCTCAACGCCACCCCAGATAACCTCTTGCTACCCTATTCATTTCTCTCTTGCTCAACCTTTGCCTTTATTTATATGCAGAACATGAATAATTCACATTCTGCAGCAAATGATGAAGGCGTTGGTTATTGTATGCATATACAGTAACCAATCCATTTGAATTTGGGCAAGGTCTGGCCCACCATTATTTTAAAAAAAATTAATTAAAAATATATATATGTGTGTGTGTGTGTGTGTGTGTATTTCAAATTTGTGATGTCTCTGCATGTATTGTTTTATGTTATTTTGTTTAATCTAAGTTTGTTTTTAATTATTTTTTAAAAAATATGAATCTGGTATTAAAATACTCAATTTTCATCAAAAATTCTAAAAATACAAAAAAAATAAAAAATAAAAAAATATATTGAGTTTTTCATACAAAACAAATAATGTTTTAGCATGCATTTTGGCTTTAATAACTAGTTTACTAAAGTCAAGAGAATATTGGCCAAAATTTAAAAAAAAAAATTATTTTTTTATCTTTTAGTATCCGGGGTACGATATTACATATAATACATATTCTAGATATTAAATTCTTTTTTCGGATGCTAAAATGTTTAGGTTTTACTCTATTAAGATAAGAACCTCTTTATAAAGGAAGATTTTTCTTAAACTTTAGACAGACCAACAATTAGAAAACACAACCAAAACCTTAGATTTTATCGAATCATAAAACAATACAACTTACCTAAGGTAGGACATATTTGGGGTGCTAATACCTTTCCTTTACGCAACCAGTTTTTGTACTTGATCTTTAAAATTAGTTAGAGTTCCTAGTGATCAGATTATTAGATAGTCACTCTCATTCTATATTTTACTGATAAGACACAAGAATTCATTATCTCTCTATATTTTTATTTTACTGATAAGAGACAAGAATTCATTATCTCTCTATATTTATTATTATTATTATTGTTGTTGTTGTTGTTGTTGTTGTTGTTGTTGTTGTTGTTGTTGTTGTTGTTGTTGTTGTTGTTGTTGTTGTTGTTGTTGTTGTTGTTGTTGTTGTTGTTGTTGTTGTTGTTGTTGTTGTTGTTGTTGTTGTTGTTGTTGTTGTTGTTGTTGTTGTTGTTGTTGTTGTTGTTGTTGTTGTTGTTGTTGTTGTTGTTGTTGTTGTTGTTGTTGTTGTTGTCATCTATAATTTATACACTTAACCTCCTTGTGGTTCGACCCCGGTCTTGCCGGGTTATTTTTTACTTCGACACTCCTGCACTTGGGAGAAGACATCAATCTTTTAGTCGTGTCATTGGATAAATGACATGTCACATCATCTTAAATATCTAGAAATTCACTTAATTACTGCGTTAATTGTACGTTGCCATTTTATTTCCCAAAGGTCCTCTTCCAATAAGGATGGGTGATCTGGCCACAAGGATCATAATAGTTCTATGTGGGATAGATAAATCTCACGGGGAAGGTAAAAAGTCTTTCATTAAAGATAACCTTTCAAAATCCTTGCATATTGAATACACAAAGACATAAGAGACTACGATGGATTAACATATTTTATACACAACTCATTTGCCCAAGAGTCCTAGGAATAAAAGGGCTAAAGGTGATGTGATCACCCAATATGCATAAGCTTGACAGAATACCAAGCCTAAATGATGCAAGTCTAGTTTTATTTCCATGCCTAACACAACTCCTTAAGCTTGACTACATGTTGAGTCTAAATTATTACAAGTTTAACAAGGTGTTAAACCATAGCTTCCTTGGGCTTGGTTATATACTGAGCCCAAGTGTATATGGATCTTGTAAGATGTTAGACCCAAATATTTTAGGCTCGACTACACACCAAACCTAAATACATATGGGTTTGAAAAAACACTAGACTCACGTCCCTCGAGCTCGGCTATATGCCGAGTCTAAATAAATATAGGTCTAGCAAGATGTAAGACCTAACTCCATTGGGTTTGGTTATATGCCAAGCTCAAGCCCATGTAAATTTGACAAAATACCAGACCCAAATTCTTTTGACTAGGCTACGCACTAAGCTCAAATGCACGTGAGTCTGACAAATTATCAAACACATATTTATTAGATTCGGTTACATGCCAAGCCCAAACACATGGAGGTCTGACAATTGACAATAATGCTACAAAAGAGCTATTCCTATCAATATTAATGTTACATATGAAATAAGGTATAAAATTCTTTTATAGCTCTATTGATTGTCCATCAACATGAATGATGTGTAAGGGTAATTTTCATTAACATTAACATTATGTAAGAAGACATTTCCATCAATATTGATATTAACGTAAATGAATTTTTCTTTATTAAGATATTCAAGAAAAAAAATTTTAACCCCTTAAGCAAAAAATAAAGTTTAAAATACCTTTCAAACCACTCAAGTAAATGATTCACAATCTTTATTCTTTTATTATACATTCTCAAAGCATTTGTTACATAAAAAACCAAGAACAAGCATTTTTGTTCTTAGAGTTTAATGTTATTCTCCTCATTCATTATAATATTTTACTATAAAGTTAAAAGGCTTAATTATCATAACTCTAAATAAATACTAATTTGTAATAACTAAAACTTTTATCATCAATCCTTTATTTTTTTCAATTTCTAGAAATAAAATACTAATATAAATATATAATCATTCACTTTCCAAACATTTAAAGTTTATTATTGAATATATTAAATGTGTGTTTGACTTGAAGTTATAGTAACTTTTTTTCCGGGCACAATTATTTTAAAGCATAAATCACACTTTTAAAAATTAAAAAACATGCTTTTTATGTAAGCTTCATTAAAAAAAAAAAAATCAAAGCCACTTTTGAATTTAGCACCTTTTAAAAAGATCAATAATTTAATAATTTTTTAAATATTATTTTAGAAAATACATTTAATCTTATATTGAGTTAAATTAATGCTCATTTTATCTAAAATTATAGGGCATGTTTATGATCAGATGGTTTTATTTACTTAGAATTTGTTTAAGTATTTGTTTGACAGTATAATTGTGATTATTTTTTAAATAATTTTTTATATTAAAATGTATATTAATAATATATTTTTTATTTTTTAAAAATTATTTTTAATATAAATATGTTTTGATCTAAAATATATTAAATTTTAATAAAAAAAATTTAAATTTTCTGGGATGACTAATGTAACTAGTCAGATTTCAACAGGTACTCTAGGAATATTTACCGAGTTTCAGAGAAAGTCGTCGGTGACTCGGTAGCAGAAAAAAAGTAGAAAACCAACATCACAACACAAAAAAGGTAAAGAGAAGAACCCTCATTTGTTGTTTTCTCCAACTCGAAGAGAAAGAAAGAAGAGAGTAAGAGGAGATAAAAATGTCCGAGGCAACAGGTCAGCCACAAGAGGAAGATAAGAAGCCCAACGATCAGTCTGCTCACATCAACCTCAAAGTGAAGGGCCAGGTCTGTTTTTCTTTCTTTTGATTATGTCTTCGTTCTTTGTTGTGGGTTTTTGTTTCTGTTTCATCCTTACATATTTTTGGGTTTGGTTTTTCTCTTTTAATGTTTTTGTTTTGGTTTACAAACTGTTACATTTGGGTTTTTTTTTAATTATTTTTTTATCATTGCTTTTTGGGACGTTATGCTAATGCAAAATTCATATGGGAATGTGGGTATTCTCTATTATTATGCTACAAATAATGCTTCACCAATTGAGCTCTAGTGTTTTGGGAATTGTATTGCTTTTCAAAATTTGAACGAGACTTTTATTTTTTGAGTTAGGCCTGCTAGGTAATAGTTAAAAAACTCTTCTTTATCATATTTTTTAGTTCTGGATTCTAAATGGGTTGTGTTCAGGAAAAACTCCTGATGAAAGGGCGTGGTGAGGATTTGTTCACTTGTGGTGCAACTAGTCTTTATGGGAACATCGATTTGGTGTCTTGTTTAGAAGCAGTTGTGCGTGAGAGAATCTACGCTGCTTCAAAGATGAGTGGAACAACTTCTAGTAGTTGCTTACCTTGTGTTTCTTGATTGTTCTACCTTTGAATCGTGATTATTGTTATAGATGTCGAAATTTTATTATTGAATATTTAAATCATTGAAATGACAAGTTTCAATTTGCATTTTAATTGAATTTTTATTGTGGGGGAGTCCATGCTAACTCTTATAATTTTGATGGTGAGAGGGGTTAAAAGGTTGTAATTTATACTCTTGTTGTTAGACTCCTATTTTCGAGAATATGCTGATTAAACACCCATTTTTAACTTTTTTGGTAGGATGGAAATGAAGTCTTTTTCAGGATCAAAAGAAGCACGCAGTTGAAGAAGCTGATGAATGCCTATTGTGATCGTCAATCTGTTGAGATAAACTCAATTGCCTTCTTGTTTGATGGTCGCCGTCTTCGTGGAGAGCAAACTCCTGATGAGGTATCTTTCTTGCACACAGTTGCACATTTATAGATATAAATGCATGGGTTATAGACTTTTAGTTAATGCATATATTGCCTTTCATTTTTTTCTTGCATCTGCAGCTGGACATGGAGGATGGGGATGAGATTGATGCTATGTTGCACCAAACTGGTGGTGCTGTGAAAGCAAGTGATTATGCTTGATGGAAAGCTAATCTACTGGTGGATGTAGGTGGTGGTAGGGTCTTGGGAGTGTTGTTAATGGACATATTTATGCTGGTCTTGTTTTGCTAAATGAGCTCTCATTAAGAGCTTTGACAGTAACTAAGCTATCTTAGTAGGATTTGGATTTGCAATGTTTGGTTTGTTGGGACATGGCTCCTCTTTCTTTGCTTGCTCTCTCCCGCTTCACTTCTCCATGTGTTCTTTGTTGCTGTTGTTGAGGGCATCAACAGGGAATGATATATCTGACATCCTTGATTGTAAAGGAGTTTAAAACCATTTGCAGTTGTAAGTGTGTGGATGGGGTTTGGGCAGTTCAGTTGGTGTGGTGGCTACTAGATAAAAGCAGTCTTCCACCCCATGAAATACCCTGTCCATAATCGAATGAACTTGGTTTCAGAACTCTTAAACTTTTATTTTCAAGTTCTGTAAGTTGTTATACACTGGGAAGGCTCTGACAGGAGAAAAACAATTTTCCATCATTTGAAATATCACTTCCAGGCTGTTGTTATACCCACCGTGAGATTCCTCATTGATGGAAGGCCATTATTGATGCCTGCTTGGGAGTTGAAAGTTTTTCACCCCGAGCTGTGTAGAATAACTGAAGTCGGGGTTTGTTCGGAAGAAATGTTCTTACTAGAATTTGCTCATGCGGTAACTAGTAGCATACCTCAGCCGCACCTGTAGTGGAGCGAGGAGTGAACAGAGTTTCTTATATCTCGTCTCTTGTTTTAACAAAATTTTCATTTTCTTATTCTTTCCCACCTCTTAGGATTCATGATATACTTGCTATGTTTCAGAGATGAATGGATCATGGAAGCGTTGATAACTTCTGATTGCTTCAACGAGCTATTGACCCTCGGAGAAAAGCTTGCAGATTTTAGTAGACCCCATCACCAATTTGTAAAACCCTGCAGTTTGGTGCTTATCAACCAAATTCTTATCACGAGGTTGTGCTTGCTCCGATACCTTAAGTATGCTCAGAAAAACTTCCATTTCTTGCAATAATTGGTTTATTGCCTCAAACTTGTGAATCTCCTGGAAAGTAAGGTGGAAGCAAGGAGGAGCTTACCCATATAATACCACAAAAGGAGACATCTTTATTTGTGAAATGACTATTGGTATTATACCAGCACCCGGCAAGAGGAAGCCACTCGCCAATTCTTAGGTGCTGATGAAGTCATTCACCTGAGATAAGTTCGCCGGCACTGGTTTACCACCTCAGATTATCGATTTAGCAGTGGAAAAGTGAAAAGGAACTCCTCGCAAAGCAAATAACTCTAGCCCGAATTTACACATCAAAATCGGATCCTTATCGGACAAAATTACTGGGCAACCCATGAACTTTAACCACAGAATCCATGAAAGTTTGAGCATCTATAATAGCAGTTTAGGGATAAGTTTGTGAAAATAATTAAAGATCAAACATAAAATAGAGATTACAATTCTGAATAATCTCTGTATTATGAGTACTTAATGTTAACCTAAATACATATAAACTATATATAGATTAAACTGAAAATATTATTTTAACCTTAATAAATAAGATTACATAAATATTATTTAACATCTCCCCTCAAACTCACGATACGGCAGCTACAAACATCAAAAGTTTGCCAACTAGAAAACAAAAACGAGAGATGGAATGTACCTTAGTGAATAAATCTGCAATCTGCAAGGAAGAAGGAACAAAAGGCAAAGCAATAGTGCCATGTTTGAGATGATGACGAATAAGATGACAATCGATCTCAATATGCTTAGTTCGCTCATGAAAAACTGAGTTGTGAGCAATCTGAATAGAACTCTGGTTGTCATAATACATAG